ACAATTATTACTAGCACAATTTGATCATGTTAGGGGGGTTCATGATCATTTGGGCATATTTGGGAGTTGGTTGGTAAATTAAAAGTAATCATTCACATCAAAAATCATTTTATTTAAATTCCTCATACATTTACGTATAACCAGGGTGTTTATAATGTCGCATAAAATATACTATATCTATATATATCTATATATATATAGATATATATATATATATATATATATATATATATATATATATATATATATGTCATATTACATAAATATCCCATAAAGTCTAAGTATTATAGACACAATTCATAAATATCTATAGATTTATCAACTAGTGCTGCCAGATTAAGCTTTAACGACGAAAATTATAAACTTTTGTTAGTAATTTATAAATGAAATATTTTAAATGGCAAACAAGCATTTATTGGAATTTATTATTATTTATGATTACAAGCAAAGAATACATTGTTTATTAAATAGACACCAATAAACATTAATTAAATACTATAATGTACGCACACTTAAATATATTATAATTTAAGAAAGCTAATAATTATTTTCAGAAAATTACATTAAATATTATGCTACCATTAATACTTAAATTTCGGCGAGCATTGCAAGTATACATATTATAAATATAAACACGCATAATTGGAGAATTTTCGTGCCCATCACACAAATGAATGCCCCCAGCGAGCCAGCGACCGCTGGCACCGCAAATAGGGTCACTACAAACTGAGCCAAACGTGTCGTCATAATCACACGCTTATCTTAAAAATCATACGTATGTTTATATTATGTAGAAAATGTTGGAAAACAATTAAATATCTATTTCGAGACATGTTTTAATATCAAAGTAACTTTACAGTGTACAATTTTTTTTATATTACAAATATATGTATATTAATTACTTCCTATTTAAGTGATACCAACATTCAAAACTCTTATTTATAAAACGGGTGCAAGCTAAATTCCCACGTAGGAAATAAAATCTACAAAGTCAAATATCTAAAACATATATGTTAAAAATTATAATCAGTAAAAATATTGTTATATAAATATATATTTTGTATATGAATTATATAATTCTTTGTTTTTTTTTTCTTGTAAATACACTAATCAAAGTGTACTTTTAATTCGTAGTGAAATTGTTAATTTGGTCATTACATAGTTACTTAGTCAAAGAGGTGACAATTTTATTAAGTGTTTTTTTAAAGATTATAAAGTGTATAAGTTAAAAAAACAACCCTGTATTTGATTAATACGATAGGTAAAGTTAGATTAAAGATAGCTATAAGTCTCACAACTCTATATATAATGATAGAACATATGTGTAGTCTTAGAAAGGTCTTTAAGAAGAATTTATCAATTTAAAATATTTTATATAAGTTACAAAAATTTAAATATGCTACGAATTTCGTCTTTTTTGACAGTATTTTTCAGTGCCATGTTACAACAATTTATAATTAATTTATAATGAATTATTATTTTTTTTTGCGTTTTTTTGTTTATATTAACTATATTGAAATCTATACATCGAAATCTACAACAATATATTATACCCATGTTTCACACTAATATACATTTTAATCGACGGTCGATAAGGAAATATATAAAATAAAAAAAATATATACAGAATATATAATATTATATAATAGTCCCGAATTTATTCATCAATATTATTTTCAATACCCCTTGAGAATAAGAATACTGAATATTAATAAATAAAATATTAGGCATATACACACTGGCAATATACAAAATTATAATAATATTGTTATTATATATGCCAGTGTGTATCTTCCCTAATACTTTTTTAACTATAGTTATCATGTTAGACTAGATATTAAACAAACCTTTTGTATTACAAACACTTTGATACGTTTTTTTTATTTATTTAAGGAGTGGTAGTATTTGCTTAAAGACCGTGAATTCCTTATTTATATACTACATATTTTTGTGATTACATCAATATGTTACATATTATAAATGATTGAATATCAAGCTTTTATAGTAAGACAATTTTAGCCCTAAATTTATATCAAAAATACATTTCTTGGCCATTCTAATGATTGCCTTATAATTCGATTTTTACTGTGACATGCACAATATAAATTTGGCCAACGAAAGAAAAGAGAAATCACTGTGGTAATTTACTGTAGGTTCATAAAGCTACATCTACACACCAAACCACTAGAATTAAAGAGTACCATGTTGATATTTCTAATCTAAGAGCTTAGACAAGATGATACTACAACCAATGATATTTAATTCAATTTAAAGCAGTGGTAGCCCAGTGGTAACGCGCTCACTCGCTTGGGAAACCGAGTGAAGCGAGTTCAAATCCCGGGTCTTGCACCTCTGATGTTTTTATGTGCGAATCATTTCTAACATGATTACCACTTGCCTTACGGTGAAGGAAAACATCGTGAGGATACCTGTTGTCTGAGAAAACCTAGCAAGTTATCGAAAGACATGTGAAGTCCGCCAACACGCACTTGGCCAGCGTGGTGGACTATGGTTTGATCCCCTTCGTATAGCACGGAGGCTTGTGCCCAGCAGTGGGGCGTTAAAAGGGCTGAATACATTCAATTCAATTCTCTTGTTAATGTCTTCAAAGCGTGGCAGTAGAGCAGAGATTATTTTACCAATGACACGTTGAATAGACAATACAGGAAGGAACCAATAGATACGTCATAGAGTCAGCTATACATATAATAAAATTGTAACTAAGTCGAATCTGTACATTAAATATATTTTGGAAAATCTAATTGAAATAGACATTATTATCGATACAGAGTCCGAATCTATAGTTTTTAGAATTTTTGTCTGTCTGTCTGTTACCGCATCACAAGAAAACCACTGGACAGATTTTGATGAAATTTGGTATGATGATAGCTGGTTATCCGGGTCAACATATAGGATACTTTTTACCGCGGAAAAATATCTCATTTCTGAGAAAAAAGTACAAAAACTGCATTGTAAGAGTGTACTAATATGTAAAACCTAAGAATTTGGTTTTCGGTCATATGAACGCGGGCGGAGCCGCGGGCAAAGCTAGTATTATTATATAATTCCCAATAATATGATTTTTTTTAGAGTTTTCCTTATCAATGATTGTAGAATAATGCTCTAAGCTCTTTGACACAAGTAACCACTAAGAAAGGATTTTTTGAAATTTAATCCAAAAGGAATGCTAAGGGGTCGTAAAGTTATAAAATACATCTACACTAATATTATAAAGAGGAAAGATTTGATTTTTTATTTGTTTGTTTGTACCAAATAAGCTCCGAAACTACTAAACCGATTTAGATGAAATTTTGTAAGAAGATAATTTGAGACCCTGGGAAGGACATAGGATAGTTTTTATCCCGGAAATCATCCTTTAAGGGGGTGAAATTACGGATGAAAGTTTGTATGGGGAATCGACCTAGGAACGAACCCGATCGAAGCGAGGGTGAGTCGCTAGTTTATAATATAGTCATCTAAATAGGTAAATTGAACATTTTCTTAACTCTCAAATTACACAAAATAACCCGGCAATGCCACCATACTGCTAGTCTATACTAATATTATAAAGAGGTAAACTTTGTAAGTTTTTTGTAATAGATAAACTAAAAATCCGCTCAATCGATTTAGACAAAATTAGGTATGAATTTAGTTTGAGAACCTGGGAAGGACAGGATAGTTTTCATCCCGGAAATCATCCCTTAAGGGGGTGAAAAGGGGGATGAAAGTTTATACGGAGAATCAATCATTTCTCAAGTAAAATATATAAAACTCATCACACCTATGTTTAAACTAATATATAGTCTATATATTCCATACTAACAGTTAAAACATACTTAGGGGCGAACCCGAGCAAAGCGAGTGTGAGTCGCTAGATTTTTATAAAACTACAAGGAAAAACTTAACAGCATATAATATTATTTATAATATTAACAGAACATTTTAAATAACATTCATACTTAACAAAATCTAAAACAATTTTGAAAACTTGTGTATTAGGTTCGCATATGGACAAGTTTGTCATTGTATATGAGAAAAATATTACTTTATCACCAAACAACTCAAATCTATTTTCATTTTTTACTAATACATTTGCAAGGGTTTAAGTTATTGTGGCCATTAATTTACTAACAGGTTCACAGTTCACACTGTGGTTTACAGAAATGGTCTGTATATATTTTAACAAATAGTATATAGAATTGTTTATATTTAACCTAGATATTAATCTGATTAATAATTAAAATAAAAATTCATACTTTATGACGATTTACATAAAAAATTAATACCTAATTAAATAAAATCAACATTATAAATACATACAGCGAGGCTATCAAATAACATTAATGACTATCAAGACTCTAGACACCAATAATCATTTATATGGCCCCCTCATATTGAAGGTAGGCCCGTATCCAGCAGTGGGGCTTTAAAAAAGGGTGAATAGTGAATATAATACAAAAGCGTTTATACCAACAATTTTTGAAATGAGGCGAGAATGTCTATTAGCCTGACATATGGGTATTTATTATTCCAGGCCTATGAAATGACTTTATGTAATCACTAAAATAAGTGTCAGTTTGAAAGCTTGTTAACATCAAATATGAAGATTATTACTTTTGCAGTTAAGTGAGTGCCGCTGTTTGTTTTGCACAAACAGTTATAACAATTAAAATAACTATAATAACAATGCAAAGAAATGTATAAATACTATTTGTGTTATAAATTATATATCAGACATATTTTACTAAATTATCCACATTCTAGATCCAAGCTGACAGGTCAGTCAGGGCAGTTTGCTGTGCATTTTTAATAAAATGGCATATGTGATATGAGAATTTAATAAAATGCAATTGTTTTTTTCAGTAAGAACTTGATATCGCCCAAAAACAAGCTAAGCGGCTTTTACAGTATGGAATTGAAGGAAAAGGAAATTAAGCTCAATTCTTGTACTTGTATTTTTCAGCAGGCGATTGACTACTATCGCCCTGCTCCTTATCTCAGTCAGCCGTCCACTGAAAGAAATATTTTTTTTATGTTAGTTAAAGTAATGATTCCACATTTTAAAATAAAATATTTGTTTTTTTTTGTTCAAAGTTGATCAAAAAAAGAGACTACAGTAAACATAATGCAAAAAATTTATAAATTTGTAAACATAATGCAAAAAATAGATTTTTTGAATTACTTTTTTTAGTATATAAATTCTACATATTTATGTTTGTGTTTTGGGAGTTCACCAGTTTCCTTACCTTCAAATTCGCTCCTCCTTCCTTCCTTAGTTCCTGCTCCCTTTTCTCCATTTCTTCTGCCCGCTCCTGCATGCGCTTCACTCGCTCCGGATCTTTGATACCTCGAGCTGCTTCTTGAGCCCGACGACGTTCAGCTGCCTCTGTTTGTTGCCTACGTCTTGTTTCCTAATTGATTAAAAAAAATACTAATATATTACATTACCTATATTTTCTTTTATTCATTTTAAGACACATCGGTCAAAACTGTATGGTACAATGAACAAAATATACATATTCTGGTAATGTAAATAAGTAATTATTTTCAGTCAACATAAGAATCTATGTTCAAATATGCAATGAAACATGTACTTCCAGATAGCAATACAAGGTTTTATATAAACATTTAAAATTTTATTATTTTATCCTCCTCCTGTATCTGGATATAGAGTAGGCAAGCATGCCTTATAATGACATTTTATGAAATAGCATATAATACATTAAACATATTCCAAGCGCCATATTCCAAAAAATACTGGAATCCAACTTATAATAATAAAATTAAGAATTAGTCTTAAATACACAGTGAAACTTACCTGTACAGTTTTAGTGTGACTATTTTTTTGGTTTATTTAGGCAAATATACAAAAAAGCGTAAATGTCATAATATAAACATTAATGTGATGTTAATTTATGATGTCATAAACATTATTTCTACAAAATTTTGAATGTAATAAAACTGAATATGTGGTGGGTATAATGTAAATTATAATGGCTTGTATATTAACAATTGGCTTCTAAAAGAAATCAGTGAACTTACTGCATCTGGGGTCAATACTTCGGATGCTGATGGCCTACAGCAGGACGTGAATATTCCCATTGTACTTACAAAAAAAAACAATTTGGCAAAAATAATCACAATCACATTCCAATCTTATCAACTATCACATAGACACATATGTCTTGTCAACAAAATTGACAATCCTAAGTGCGTTTAAAAACATTACTACAGAAAACACTGCATTCGTCTAAAAATCTGAAAATCAATTAAAAGAAAAGAAATCATAAATAATACTTGCTAGTTTTACTAACACCAAATGACAACGATACACATATAATCCACAATTAAATTAAATCATAACTACTAGTTTATTTCGTTACACAACTTAACGCTATCATAGAAACTAACCATTCTCTTCCAAATAAAATGTATGCTCGCCATTTTTAGTTAAGAAAATGAAAAACACTTTGAAATTTACTGAAATAAGATAAAATTGTTTATTTACGGAACAACTGCTAGAAAAGCTCAATTTTACTAAATCGATCGATACAATGGTACTACCAACTGATAAATTTTAACAGGGTCACGATGTTATCAGTTTTCAAATATTTATTCTAAATATACTACTAACAAATAAAAGTAATTACACAATGTTAAATTTTATATTGATCAGCTGTTTGCTTGGATGCTATTATACAAGAAAATATAAAATTATTATATTACTTGATATCTATACCATTTTTTATGTATTATATTCGTATTTGATATTATTTTAAAGCAAAATAAATTATTATGGATAAAGAATATGGGTGACTTTTGTTAAACCTATTTTAGAATATATCGCTTAATCAAAATATTGTAACAATGAAATTTAATCGATATCTGTTGTTACTTATCGTTCGTACTTCGTAATCGTTTCGTCGATCGTCGATGTTGAATGTTGATTAACGATTGTCGATAAATAGTACATCACTAACGCAAAGTACTTGATATTGGGGACTGTCGCATAATTTTGGATTATATTAAAATTGCGTATTAAAAATGTTTTCCCGTTTAGCTTTGCGTTCAGGTACGTTTTATTATTTACATTATAAGGATCTCAGTTCTTTATTTACAATAATTTGTTAACCTTGGTGTTAGGGTGGTTTATGTAATCGTCAGTGACAAGTGCCGAAAGTAATATTTAGATTTGAAAATTTTTCCATAAAGTAGGAGGTACAAAAACTTTATGTTGTATTTTTCAATACGATTTGATTTACGGTTATATAATTTGTATTAATTCACTTTAATATTAATGTTGAAAAAAAATTAACCTAACTTTATTCAGCTGATTTACGTGATGTAGGATATTTTTTTAGATTGGAAATATAAATTTTATTATATTTCATGAATTATAGTAGATACGTTATGAAAAAACTAGTGATCTTTAATAAAATTTAATAATACAGAAATTCTTAAAGATAATTCTATTTCTTATGCTGAGAGAGATCTTATGAGTTTAAATATAAATAGGAAAACAAAAACTTACGACATTGATGTCGTATATTTATATAGTATTTTCCTATAATTTTCAGTCGCAGCCAGACAAACCCCATCAACAGCACTTGTAGCCAGAGGCTCTGCTTCCGAAGTAAGTGGTGTGCGTGATGAGAAAAACTTCCCCCGCCCAGTAAGAGCGACTGAGCCTGGCAAAGTTAGACTTGGATTCATTCCAGAAGAATGGTGAGATCTTCTATTAAATTATAGTTTTGTTATATTAAAACCCTTACCTTTCATGGGCGGATAAAATAAATATAGGCCATTATCTTTTCCTGTATAGTTAATTAATGATAGTTAAATCTAACTATATTAGTTTCAAATTCACTGTTATACAATAGCAATAATATAATTAAATTTTACGTTCTCTCTACAATAAGCAGAGGCTCTACCTACATAGTGATGTAGCATAAATGCAAGCCAGGATAGGAATAAAAAATTAAAAAAAGACACCTTTATGACTCTTCTTCCATATCTCACTTAAATTGAATTGAAAATTGAATAAAAACAAAGTAAAGTTGTGAAGACGAGAAAGAAAGACAAAAGTTTCATTTCTCATGTTAAAAATATATATGCTAAAATAATGGTTATGCTAATAAAACATCTTTACATTACAGGTTCCAATTCTTCCATTCCAAGACCGGTGTAACCGGACCCTACACATTCGGTGTTGGTCTCACCACATACCTCTTCAGCAAAGAGATCTATGTAATGGAACATGAATACTACACTGGTCTGTCCATCTTCCTTATGGTATACTATGCATCTACCAAGTTTGGACCTAAACTCGCTGTCTGGTTGGACAAGGAAGTTGAAGTAAGTCTAAAGTACACCTGTGAGTTTTTTTTAAATCCTTGAAGTCAGTTTGCAGACAATATGAAGCAACTGTCGACACATTTGGCTCAGTTTGTAGTGACCATTGTTGTACTTGCTGTGCCAGCAGTTGAGGGTTCAAGGTCCTGCTGGGGGCACTCATTTGTGTGATGAGCACGAATGTTTGTAGTCCAGTCATGGTTGGTTATAATATTTATATGGATGTATTTAAAAATAATTACGTGAAATATGAAATAATAGAAATACTTTTGTGTATTTTTATTATTACACTTACTTTTATTTAACTTAAATTTTATCATAATATATACCATTTAATTGTAGAATGTTGAAAAAGAATGGAACGAAGGTCGAGTACAAACCCTCAAATCCTTAGAAGAAGCCATAGCAGGTGAGAAGGAGGCACAGTGGCGTGCTCAAGGCCAAGAGCTTCTTATTGAAGCTAAGAAAGAGAATGTTCTATTGCAACTGGAAGCTGCTTACCGAGAAAGAATGATGAATGCTTACTTAGAGGTATATTGAAATTGTATATTCTTATTTCTTTAATATATTTTTTTGCTAAATTAGAAGTTTCTCTTTGCAAATGATATTTTTTATTAATCAACTCAACCAATAAGTTATAACTTAAACAATAAAAAAAATTATGTATAAATGTTGGAAGTTATAATAGTAAAATTATTGTTTTTTTAGTTCACAAAGACCTTTTTTTAGCTACTTAAAATAAGCTCTGAGTTTAGAGTTCTTATCCTCAATACAAGAATTATCTATCTATTGTGTAACTTATTAAGTTAGAAGTAAATATTTTTTACTAGCATTGGCCGCGGCTCCGCCCGCGTTCAGATGACCAAAAACCAAATTTTTAGGTTTTACATATTAGTATATACTCTTACAATGCAGTTTTTGTATTTTTTCTCAGAAATTAGATATTTTCCCGCGTAAAAAGTATCCTATATGTTGACCCAGATAACCAGCTATCGCCATACCAAATTTCATCAAAATCCCTCCAGTGGTTTTTCTGTGATGCGGTAACAGACAGACAGACAAAAATTCTAAAAACTATAGATCCGGCCTCTGTATCGATAATAATGTCTATTTCAATAAGATTTTCCAAAAAATATTTAATGTACAGATTCGGCTTAGTTACAATTTTATTATATTTTTTATTATTTTTCCTTACACATAGTTTGAATAACACTCTTAATATATATTATTTTACATTAATGAATGAAATATGAACAATAAAATAAATTTCATTGCTGTTCTACGCTTTAAAAAATAATAATCTGTCAGTGAAAAAAACATAACATTATATTTATCTTACAACAAAAACCATTAATATTATTCCAGGTCAAGCGTCGTTTAGATTACCAGCTAGAAAAAACGAACGTTGAGCGTCGTATTGCCCAAAAGAACATGGTGGACTGGATAGTGACCAACGTGACCAAAGCCATCACTCCGGACCAGGAGAAGCAGGCCCTGGACCGCTGCATTGCAGACCTGGCCGCTCTCGCCAAGATCAAAGCTTAGATATTTATGTAGTTATTAAAGTGAAATCGATGGTATAGTTTATATTGGTTTTATTTGTTAATATAATTAATTACCTGTTATTTAAATAATGTTTTTTTTATCCTCTTTTAAGTTTAAAATGGGAACACTGAAGATATATCTTATTAAATAAAAAAAGTAGTCTATGGTACAGATAGACACAAACTCCATCCATATTTATAAATCCCATAAAATATTAAATCTTTTGAAACAGTATTAACAGATTAACTGTCCGCAAAATAGACAGAATAGTTAAACAATCGAAATGTTCAAATATGATTCATGGGACAGGGAAACAGTTAATATAAAATAAAGGCAAAATTATTTCTTTTGTAAAAATCTTTATAATTAAAATACAAAAAAAAATTGTTTAGATTAGGCAAATAATAGATATTTTAGGCAAACTTAGAACAAATATGCACGCCTTTTCACCTGACCGGTAAAAAACCCGGATCGGGACAGTGAAGCGCGCAAAAATTACATTAATTCGTAAGTTAATCTTAAAACCACATTGCCATATTAGAAATAAAATTATATAGAATATATCAAAATACAATCATATTGAAATGAAATTATATGTAATTGAAAATTAAAATAGTAAATCCTCTCTAAATAAATAATAAACCTTTCAAATAAATTCTATGGTTCTCAACGCCATAACGTTACAGGTACTCTGTACATTAAAGTTAATTTGGCTTGCTTGACATGTCCGGTGACCATACAGCTGAGTACAGTCGACGCCATGAAAACTCACTCTTAGATTATATATCTTGAATTTGACGAGTGCCTGCAAAACCCTCTGCAGTATGTTAGTAAAGAGTTGAGTATCTTGCAGAAAATGTAATGCTGTTACCTTAGGCCAAGGTCGTCATGGGCGCCGGGACTTGCATGTGCCCCCCTCCCTCCCTGACACGAAGAAAAATATATAGAAAAAGTTAAAAAATAAAATTATTTGAGTAAAATCCCTGTCTTAACACGTTCACTGTCCAGCAAAAATGTTGAAATTAGCTCTCACGTTCAATTTATTTTTTCCTTCGTATGTACAGAGATACTTGCCTTTATGCTTTTTTTTTTTTTTTTTTTTTTTTTTTTTTTTTTTTTTTTTTTTTTATGTCGGGAAATGCATTTACGCATACCACCTGATCCCCCAGGTGGTGATGTGGGGCTCACCGGCTAGAAGAGCCGGTACTACCCACTAAAACCCGACATTCCCCTCCCCTCCGCCTTAATGGGACGCCGCAGGATCGCTTGCGCATAACTACTACGGCGCCCCGGCGGCAGGTCTGCCCAACGGCTGACCACCACACCGATGGGGCTGCTCCACAGTCAACTCTGCTACACCAGAGAGGTACCCGGAGCAGCCCCATAAAACCGAACCTCCGCCCACCGAAGTGGGCCACCTCCAATCGGCTGCAGAGGACAGGGAGAGCGGCAACGAAACACCGACACTCCTCTTCCCCTGCAGCCCCACCGCGTCCGCCATCAAACGGTGGCGGCCCCGTCTAGGCCGCGGAAGGTAGGGAGAACGGCGCACCGAAATACCGGCACTCCTCTCCCGCCGCGGCCTACCCCTCCGCCGGATGCGGGCCTGCGACCACAGTCCCGCAACCGGCACCCATCATCCGGTTGTGGGACCAAGCGGTCCCACCACCGGTGGCCGCAACGTCTTCGGCTCGAGGCCCAGACGAGCGGCCCCATCCAAGCCATTTGGTCCGCGCCGGATTTCTCCGGTACCACCCGCCGCCCTAAGCGGGTGGCATTCCCCCATCCGCCACCTGGGGACGCGCCCGGTAGGAGTTGGCTTCTCCCCCGGGAGCCTTTATGCTACCTCAAGTCCATAAAGGCTATAAAAATTAAGGGGGAACCCTGTTACCCCCATTTTCATGATGACCCACATATATGTCACGGACATAAGCTAAAAATTTAGTGAATAGTGACACACTCGTGTGTCATATAACCGTAAGAGGTGAAAAATTGAAGAAATCTTGCGTTATATAATTGTGGGTAAAGGGGATTTACTGCCACCTGGTTAACGACATACGACAGTTTTGACGGATATAACCTTACTTTCTCGAAAATAAATCTGTTTGGCATTTACGTTTATTTTGTGAAAATCTCGTTATTTTTCTTACTAATAATGGAGAGATCGCTGCGAGATGAAATTTGGCGAGCACTCCATAATCGATAGCTCATCGCTTTTTCATTTTGCCTATATAATGGCTTATACGTCCATGTACAACACAAGTTAGTTTCTATACTAAAGAGTATAGTTATAAACTGGGAATTCTATACCATCCAAGTACTAGAGCCCATTATGTTTAAGAGGGCCAGTGACCCACATGAATGGCACGAACGTCTTGTTCTCCACACCCACATGTGGGTCATGGACAGTTAACGTGGTACTTTAGATATCTTCAAAGAAAAGACGATAAATAAGATATGACTAAAAATTATAAAATTTAAAAGAAGCAAATCACCCACCCCCCTGAATGCTGCCGCCGCCCACGAATGTAATTTACTAAGTTTCGAATCGATTAATATTCGACAATAAGATCTGTTAAAGTAACTAATAGATAGCCTGCAAACGGCTGAACGAATTTTCTTTTTATAGCTAAGAACAATTGCGATCAAGTCACCATTCAAACAAAAAAAAACTAAATTAAAAGCGGTTCATCCGTTTGCGTGCCACATACAGACAGCTAAACTTACAACACTATAAGCGTCGAGAATTAATAGAAAATAAAAGTCATTATTCATTAGTTATATTTATTTTATTACAATACGATATTACTTGACAACAGTACTCAGTTAAGGGCGTAAAGCCCACAGTTAAAGCTCTTTACAACATCCTCACATCCTTACTCTAAATGTTACATAACCAGCTCTGAACATTTCTGTATTAAATAGGCAAAATCACACTTATTATATTTAGTAATATATTCTTTTTGTTTACCAAAAAAGAAATATATTTTCGAACCAGAATTTTGAAGGCTAAAATTTTTTTCTTTTAATATAAACTTTATGCGGTTAAAAAACAAGTGTTAAGTTTTAGTTCTATTGCTTTAGTCATCTCGTATAAGCAGGTTTCAAGACGCCATCGGATCCAAAGCAAGTTGTCCACACGACAAGTTGCTTGGCACTCGATGCACGTTTGAATTCAAAGTGTTTCAATGTATTTATTACTTTATCACTTAACTACCCTTTAGAACGCAAAATAACACCAGATTTGTAAACTAAATGCCATAAATAATAAAAACATTAAAACACATCAACCGTGTTTTCCGTTCAACTATCCTCCACAGAATCTCAATAAAATATAATAAATTTTATTTATTTATTAAATCAAAATCAAATAAAATAAAGTGTAATTTTGCCCGACTACTTTCCACATAAAGTCAATATCGATAGTTGATGTCACAACACAAAATACTGTTCACTGATTGTGCTTAAATTATAAATAATAATATATCAAATTGCACAGAGTATAGACAAGTTTTATAAATTCAAAAAGGTACATATTATTTTAAATAAATAAATCTTTTCGGATTTTTTCGTGGATTTATTTTGTATTTTGGTTCCGACGTTTCGAATGATTTACATCGCACATGTTTACGGGAGAAAAGTTTTAGACGTCTCAACGGCATTATTACGTATATAGTCGTTACAAAGAGCCTACCCACAAAATTACAAAAAAATACAAAAATGGCACCAAAGCACCTTACAATATTTGTTAATTTTAATTTTAAACATTTCTTAGCCAAAAACCAAACCTCCTTCCCGATGTTTCGAATGCTTTACAGCTATCATGGTCACGGGAGAGACTAAGGTTTTAGACGTCTCAAAGGAATTATATACTTGTTACAAACAGTGCCTACCCACAAATTTACAAAAATAATTTCAAAAATTTAAAAATGGCACCAAAGTACCAAGTACAATATTTGCTGATTTTAATTCCAAACATTTTAAAAAGATAGTTTTATTTAAAATGTCAAATATTCGCGTAAATCTAAGAAATTATTAACATTTCGCTTAGCAAAAAATGCGTACAAACCGATATTTATATATACGATATAAAAAATATATAGTATATTTTTATAAAATACCTTACAAACTCTGGATTACCTCTTATCAAGCCAGTGATTTATAAACCCTGGCTTGAAATTTTAAAATTAATTTTCAAGATGTAAAACTCTTTGGATATTTTTTATAAAATCCAAAGTAAAAAACTTGTTTTTCACCATAAAGTAGACAGCGATTATTTTAAAGGATATTTTGATTTAATTTTATACATCCTATTTCCATACACATAAACAACAGTCAGAGCTATGTACATTACAGATGTTTTCATTAAACTATAAAGATAAAGGCCACATGAAAATGTAATTTATCACCTTTGAAATGGTTAAAATATTATTTGATAGAATAAATCTATACTAATACTATAAAGAGGCACACTTTGTTTGTTTAAATGCACTAATCTGAGGAACTACTACTCCGATTTGAAAAATTCTTTGTGCATTAGATAGCCCGTTTATTGAGGAAAGCTATAGGCTATATATCATCATGCTACTACCCAAGGGAGCGGTACAGTAATATCATATAGTCTATCTATTCCATACTAACCGTTAAAACGTTCATAGGGACGAACCAGAGTGAAGCGAGTATAAAAATCTGTAATGTACAGCTCTAAATCTTAGCCATAAGTTAAACCGTTAAAAAAACACTAAAATAATCATACATAATTAGTATTTGGTTTCGAAATGTACGTACATATTATAATACACGTTTTTAGTAATTCATTTTTATTGGTAAATAATTTTTTACAAACAATTAAAAAATGATACATCAAAAAGTTGTATTAAAACAATTGTGCAAATGTCTCAAAAGGTTTCATATTCAAATTAAGTGTCTAACGCCATCTTTGGATCAATGTACACTTGCTGTAGATATCATCTGGTGTTCATATATTTATAATATTTATAAGTAAATTATGATGGATATGCTTAAAACATCAAACAGCATTATAATTCTTATTGACGTCTGATTTTCGATATACTTTAATCTCTGCTGTTTACTCATTAAATGATTATCCTACCTTATTATAAATGCTTCCAAGTATTGTTTGTTCACATATTGATTGTTATATTACCATACATTTCCATTATAATTCTTAAAAACAATTTGTTATAAATTAAATAACCATTTTGATACTAAATGATTAAAACTATTTAAGGAAAATGATAAAAATAAATAATAATGTTTATTAATATAAAGCACTCTTACTATAGACGATGGAAGATTTTTCGAGACTTTTACATCATTTTTGTATTTGACAAAAAAATATACAAAGCAGAATAGAACTAATTTCTTTCTAACTTTTCATCAGTAATTATGCAGTGTAAAAATAAATAGCTTACATCCTAAAAACGAGGTGGCTTTGTGTACTTGAATAAGATAAATAAAATGGTGCCCAAATACATAAAAAAAACAATCAATAGTATTAATTTCGCCGAAAACATCGTGAAGCACCATATTATATTATGTCAAGTTCATTTAAACAACAGATTAGGTATGGTCTTATTAATAAAAGTAGAATACCATGTAATTTAGTCCTAAAGTCCATAGAAAAACTATGGTGTATGTATGGGCTAAAAAATAAAAAAATAAAGTAAATAAAAATATTATCTGTTATAAAAAAAAATACCATACTGTAAACTATTTTGACAAACAGGACCACATCTGTCATTTCAACTGACATTGACATTTCACATGACCATAACATTTACTTGTTACAAAATGGTGCATTTTTTCTTCTTATTCCTACTTTCAGATTTGATATGAATCCTTTCTGCCTCTTGAAAGCGGCGTACAAGCCGGACAAGTTCGTGGAATGCTTGGTCGACGTTCATGCGCGCTTTGGCACTGCATTCTATGTAGGGGACTTTTAATTCCCGTGACAGACCTTGGGCTTCATCTAATGTTACCTGTAAATAAAAAAGAAATATATTATTCACAAAATCGTATATTTCTAAACTATAACAATAATAAAAGAATATTTTTTTCTACAGTTTATAAAGCTATATTAGCTTTGTTTATTTTTCAAAATATATTATTTTTATAATTTGAAGACATTTGATTTCGTATTAATGATTAAATATTTGTTTATTTATTTTAATATAAGACCTAAGTTTAATTATAAAAGTATCTAAATAATAAATAACTACACTATAATACCTAAGAGTTAGTAAGTCTGTACATAAATGATTCTGAAACCAAATGACCAGGGATGGGATATCATATCCAATTAAATAATTGATATCTTCTAAATTGATGTATTATGTCACCATCATTTTTGTTAAATTAATCAAGCAAGTGGACTATAATACAAGACTACTTTATATTAATTGTTCATTGAATTTGCAAGTAAATTATAGTTAAAAATAAAAATATGGTTTGTTAAGTCTACATATATAAAATATAAAAATGTATGTATGTATGTATGTTCCCTATGGACTCCAAAACGGTAATGCTAATACTATATATAAATGATTATAAACAAAAGAGAGTAAATATTTAAATAATAATTCTTCATATCAATCATTTGATAAAAAAAGTTTTGATAAAAAAATATTTTAAAAAAGTAAAAAATATAACAAAGCTTACCACTCTCTGGTGTTCCAAGTCTGCCTTGTTCCCAACCATGAGCATTGGGAACTCATCCCTGTCCTTAACACGCAAGATCTGCTTGTGAAACTTGGATAATTCCTCAAAACTTGCATGGTCAGCTACCGAGAACACCAGGAGGAAACCTTCCCCTGATCTCATATACTGTTCTCGCATCGCACTAAATTCCTCTTGCCCAGCTGTGTCCAAGACTAAATAAAGACATTATTGATTAGATTTTATAGTATGAATAAACTATAACATTTTTTTTTGAGTTTTTCAAAATCAAAAGATTTTTTTGTGTGTTAATGTTTGTTTCTTAAGCATACAGTTCATGAAACAAGTATAAAAACTATAGTAAGTTTTATTTGATTTGATAAATTTTCACCTTTGAATCTCATTCAAAGATGATACCATACTACCTGAACATGTAAGGTAAATAAAAATATACATGATGGTGCAATATAGAATTATAGTAAAGCAAGTATAGTAATTAGTAGCTTTATACATTTTCAATTCAATTCTCTTTTTAATAGAGTCAAAGCGTGCCAGTTGCTAGAGTACTTTGCCAATGTCACATAGAATATAGAAGACACGAAGTATACATTTACTAATTGAAGCAAAAGAATTTAAGAAATAACATTATTTTAGTTTTACAAGACATGATGTATAAAACTTGTAAATTATATTATACTAGCGGCTCACCCTCGCTTCGCTCGGGTTCGCCTCTAGAAGAACACTAATAGAGATCTATTAGTTCCCAAGGGAACCGTTCATTTTTCCCGGATGATAAGTAACCTGTTGTTGGAACGGCAACATAAGGTATCAGAATGTTAAATTTTACTAAATTCGGTGCATAAGTCGTATAAGTTATTATAGTTTTTTAACTATCCCACCGGAGCTCTTTAATTTTCCGGGATGAAAAGTAGCTGATTTGTTTTTGTCATGTATGAACTATATTATTGTAAAGTTTCAATAAAATCCAATCAGTAGTTTTTGTGTACTAAGCTGTATAAGTTGTTATAGTTTTTTTAACTATCCCACGGGAACTTTTTAATTTTCCGGGATGAAAAGTATCTAAGATGCTGCCCGGGGATATATGGTACCACCATACAAAATTTAATTGAAATCGGTCCAACAGATTTGGAGATTAGCCCGTACAAACAGAAAAACAGACAAACAGCTTGCTCGGGTTCGTCCATACCTACGAATATGTTGTATTATCTCTTTAACCATTTGTCCAAATTATATGCAGTAAAAAGGAAAAGTCTTTTGTTTTAAACATTTTAGACGATAAATTCACTTATTTTGATAAGAATTCATAATTGTTGATAATATGACCAATAAACATGACCTACCGATTTAAATATTTTTTTTAATATAAAAAACTACTTTTTGTGACTTAAATATAAAAGTTAGACATATGCTGTCGCTGACTTTTTTGTAGGCATTATTAAGCTCTACAACTTTTCTCTAGAACATAATCATATATCTCTCATTGTTAAGGCAGCGTTCGTAAGAAACGTTTTGGTTCGACCGTTTTTTCTCCGACTTACTTTGCAAATCCGACTACCACGAAAAATCTTTTTCATTCTTCGGGTTAATATATAGCCTATGACACTCAGAAAGAACGTGGCTTTCTATTGGTAAAAGAATTTTGAAAATCGGTTCAGTAGATCCAGAGATTACCCCCTACAACGTCACAAACTCACAAACTCACAAACTCACAAGATCACAAACTTTACCTCTTTATAATATTAGTATAGACTAGCGACTCACCCTCGCTTCGCTCGGGTTCATCCCTAGCTTGATTCCCCATACAAACTTTCATCCCCATTTTCACCCCCTTAAGGGATGATTTCCGGGATAAAAGTATCCTTTGTCCTTTCCAAGGTCTCAGACTATCTTCTTACTAAATTTCATCTAAATCGGTTCAGTAGACCCAGATATTACTCCCTACAACGTCACAAACTCACAAACTTTACCTCTTTATAATATTAGTATAGATAATAGGGAATATGAGTGTGATTTTAAAAAAAGGTGAAATATTTTTTTTATAATCTTTATTGCTTTTAAATTTTTTGCCTACTATATATTTATTGCCTATATTAACATGTCTTAATTAACAAAACAGTAGACAAATTTTGGTCAGTCCAAAGAAGCTTTCCCCAAACCTAACAAACAAGTAACAACTAAACTAAGCAGAACTAAACCAAAACCGGTAGTGGAATTTATAACAGGATACTGCCATCTCGACAATCATCTTTTCAATATAGGTATCATGGACAGACCCCTGTGCAGAGCATGCCATCGACGGGCAATAATGCCTTAAGTGAGGGAAAAACCGTGCAGGAATAAGAAGAAGGAGTCTATATTAATATTTTTATGTAATTTCATTTTGATTAAGAAAACAATAATTAAAAAGTGCAAACATAGGTGGGAAATTCAATGTAGTTGAAACGCAACACCATTGGTCAGACCGAATGTGACGTCAGAGTATATCATAACAGAACGATTAGCGATTTTGTCGCTACAAATTGCTTACGCAAAGCCGTCATTTTTCTGTGTATTACTTACTATGACGTCACGCGAAGCGCGCGAAATGGCTGGCGTTTAAAGTATTCGTATCAGTATGCTCTTTTTAAACAAAGTTTTTTATACTAAATTTTATTTTTTTAGGGCTGAATGTTTTTTACAATTATATAACGATGTAAGCTATTGTATAAAAATTAAACAAAATTCATGCATATTCGCTATTCATAAACAGGTATAAATAATATTGAAAATATATTATTTACTCAGAAATACTTTAACCAAATAAGGATAAAATATGTACAATTATTTAGTAGTATAAATAAATTACTCACTATCCAACTTAGCTGGAATATCATCAATGACACACTGTTTAGTGTAACTGTCTTCGATGGTTGGGTCATAATCTGTCACAAAATAACTCTGAAAGAGATTTGTTTTTACTTTATGAGATAATAATTTCTTAAGTTTATGCAAATATTTGCCATTTTAAATAAGACCATCTTTTCAGATTTTTTCAGATTTATTTAGATTTTTGATTCCCACGGTTTTGAATACTTTACAGCAATCATGGTCATGGGAGAGACTAAGGTTTTAGAGATTTTAAAGGTCATTATATAATTGTTACAGACAGTGCCTACCCACAAATTTACAATGTGGCATCAAACATCTAAAAAGATACTTTTATTTAAAATTATTATAACTTTTTAAATAGTAGTCAACTATACACTAAAAAAACATCTTATTAACAAATTGATTGAAAGTATATTTCTTCTGTTAATCAATTGTTAGTATCATTGCAAGTAAAATAGATAAATGAAAGAATAGAAAAAGATACAAGAACTCATTTCATATAGATTAAAGAATTTTAAAAGTATCTTTTTATATTAATTAAATCAAAATATCTTGAGTAATGTTTGTTTAGATGATTACTCTATGAACAAAAGTAGTTTTACAAAATATATTGGAAGAAATGATATGAGCATTGTTCTTTAATTAGCACAGCTAAAATGAGTAATAAAAATAGTATTCTCATTATATACTACAAATATGCCCCAATCAAAACGAGCAAACAGGAAAAATATTTATGATAATCAGGAATACTAATTAGTATCAGCCTTCACATACTACATAACAGCCTACATAAGAATTTGACCATATGTTAGTTTTAATAAATAAATAATTCTTAAAGGTGATGACGCCGGTGGGCGGCGACGTTCATTGCTAGACAGGCCTTGATTCCATAGATCCACTATTTATAAATGTGACTGTATTCATGAAATCCCTGTTATAGATTGTGATGAATGAAATATATATTATATTTACTTTGGAATCAAGAGATTATCTAAAAATAGATAAACATCCGTCCCGTAGGCGTATCTATAGCCAAATACGGCAAAATACCTGTATAAATTGAATTGTGATAGCACTTTTTCCTACTCCTCCACCTCCAACCACCACTAGTTTATATGTTTGCGCCTGGTTAGGTCTATCTCCTGGTCTCGACATTTTTCTGTAGTAACAAGTTTAACAATTAAACCGAAAATAATCCACTTTATCTATGTATTTTCTAATTTCAATGACGGTCACGGATGAATCAGTTGATACCTACGTCTGTTTCACGTATGATTGCACAGACAATAAAAACGACTTAGGAGAAACGTCGCTCAGAAATCGTGAAGATTAGAAAAATCATTTATTATACTCACTGGATATAGCTGAAGACGAAATATTGAACGTTATTTCGTTCTATAAAAGAAGATTGTCTCTTTTTAGTAATCTATTAATGAAATATTTTAGAACGTATTATTTATAGTAAATATTTTTCAGTTACCATTTGCCTTTATTTTAAATTTTATGCACTTTGTTTAATTAAATTAATACTAGAATAATATCATATGGCTGAACTTATTATTATATATAATAAAAATACAAAAAACACAATTTCTGTATTTTATATTAGGATTGAAAATGTTTTCGCGTTTAAAAAAAATACATAAATATTAAATACCTAATAATATATAAAATATGATAATTCATATTTATTATGTAATTAGAACTCATGTTTGAAAATAATAATTTATGAAATATTTTTTCATTATCTAGTATGCGTGCTCAGTTCAACATTCAGTGATTTAAATTTAAAGTGTCAAATTTTGAAGTATTTGGTAGAAGACCGTTTGACTTTCGTAATTCGTTACAAAATAAAAAATAAATAGCATAGTTTTATTGACGCTACACAATATTTTCAAACATGTTCTCTACTAGCAGCCAAAGAAAGTTTTGGACTTTCAGTGATGAAAATGAGCTGGCTCGTCATCGTGAAAAACACAACATAGGATTTATTTCAAAACATGGACACCACATCGATGAATATCAAAGATATAATTTCTTTTTATCACCTGAGGAAGAAAGGCTATTATTGAAACAATATGAGCTCCATCTTAAGGAATTCTGCAAGAGATTTACACCACCGATGCCAAAAGGAGTAGTTGGAACAGCCTTTCATTATTTTAAGAGATTCTACTTGTATAATTCTACAATGGATTACCATCCTAAAGAGATTTTAGCTACATGCGTATATTTGTCGTGTAAAGTCGAAGAATTTAATGTTTCCATTGGTCAATTTGTTGCAAACATTAAAGGTGATAGAGAAAAGGCATCGGATATAATATTAAATAATGAGTTACTATTAATGCAGCAACTCAATTATCATTTAACTATACATAATCCATTTCGACCAGTAGAAGGATTTTTAATTGACATAAAAACAAGATGCACTTTGGCTAATCCAGAGCGTCTAAGAAGTGGTATAGATGAGTTTCTTGAGAAAGTATTTTTAACTGATGCCTGTTTACTGTATGCACCATCTCAATTAGCTTTAGCTGCAGTGTTACATGCTGCTAGTAAGGAACAAGAGAATTTGGACAGCTATGTTACAGATATGCTATTCCGTGATGCTGGGTCTGATAAATTAGCAATACTCATTGAAGCAGTACGTAAAATTCGTTCAATGGTTAAAATGGTTGAAAGTCCACCTAGAGAAAGAGTTAGAATAATAGAGAAAAAGCTAGACAGATGCCGAAATCAAGAGAATAATCCTGACAGTGAAATTTATAAGAGAAGAATGAGAGAGGCTCTTGATGAAGATGACTTGCCTCACACTGGCTCCAGTAGAATGTCATTAGATACTAGTGGCATTTCACAGGTACTGTCCCCTTCTGCTTCATAAACCTTAAAATTGTATTTGACATTAAATATTTTAATTAAACATTCTATTTGACACATTATGCCTTTTATTTTCCTTGCCATAAGTTAATTAAAGATAATAATATTACCATAATTTAAAATAATGTAATTTATTACATCAACACAATTTATTACATTAAATATTCACATCAACATCTCAGTTTTTGTGTATTCATTTAAAGAATTTAATATAGCACAGATTAAAAGAGATGTGATCTAAATGTTATTATAAAAGTAAGATTGTGAGAATTCTATAGAAAAAACATTTCAATATTTTACAGAATTAAAATTATTATATAGCTTATATAGAGCTTGCTTCCCCATACAAACTTTCATCCCCATTTTCATCCCAATAAGGGTTGATTCCGGGATAAAAATATATAAATATATAATAATCAGTTTAGGAGATGCAGAAATTACCCCCTACAAAATCACAAACTCATAAACTTTATCTCTTTATAATATTACTACAGATAGTCTGATGTATAGTATTAGTATTGTATATGAAAAAAAACCATCTTATAAAAATATCATTCAATAGGTTACGACACGGTCGCGGTCCCATACTCTTTAACCATTTGTCCAAATTATAGGTAGCAAGAGGGAAAAGTATTTTGTTTTAAACATTTCAGACGATAAATTTACTATCTTGATAAGAATTCAGAATTGTTGATAAATGACCAATAAACATGTCCTACCGATTTAAATTATTTTTTTAATATAAACACTACTTCTTGTGACTTAAATATAAAAGTTAGACATATGCTGTCGCTGACTTTTTTGTAGGCATTATTAAGCTCTACAACTTTTTTCTAAAGCATAATCATATATCTCTCATCGTTAAGGCAGCGTTCGTAAACGATTTCGTTCAACCGATTTTTCTCCGACTTTGCAAATCCGACTACCGTGAAAAAGTGCTTTCATTCTTCGGGTTAATTATATAGCCTATGACACTCAGAAAGAACGTGGCTTTCTATTGGTAAAAGAACTTTGAAAATCGGTTCAGTGATCCAGAGATTACCCCCTACAACTTCACAAACTCACAATATCACAAATTTTACCTCTTTATAATATTAGTATAGATTAAATACTTACGTAGTATTAAAATACTAAAAGAACTAAATTCAACAGTTGCTTATGAACAGCTATTTTATAATTTATGAATGTTTTTTGCCTTGAAGCCAATAAAATAATATAGTGTGACTTCCATATTAACATTTTGAAGTATGTATGCAAGTACTTTTTATTTTTTATCTGTCTGTCTGTTACCGCATCACAGAAAAACCACTGGATTTTGATGAAATTCGGTATAGTGATATATGGTTATCCCGGTCAACATATAGGATTCTTTTTAGTCCGGGAAAATATCTCATTTTTGTGAGAAAATGCAAAAACTGAAATGTAAGAGTATACTAATCTAAAACCTAAGAGTATAAAACCTAAGAATTTGGTTTTTGGTCATCTGAACGCGGGTGGAGCCGCGGGCAATGCTAGTTAGAAAATATTTCTTTGCCCGAAGATCAGACCCGGCCAGGACTAAGTACGTCGCGTTTCTTGAATTATTTTTTGATTCTTTTCTAATTCAATTGGCGGAAGACTGAAGGTAATGAAAAAAAAATGTTTGATTGTTATTTTGTTGTCATGTCAATTTGTATGTGATAAATAATTATTTTCCCAGCGCAAGCCAAATACTAACTATTTTAGGCAATTATTTGATACCTTAAGTTACATTATTTCAATTTTCGTGGTGATCTCTTAATTTTTTGTAAATAAAATATGGTGCATGCTACTCGCTGATAATGTATCTTTTGATAGGTGAACGAATTTTTAAAATTGATCTAGCAGTTTTTTAGTTTTTCCATTAAAAATAAACATACAAAAGAGAAACATTTTTTTTCCTCTTAATAATATTAGTATACTTAGACGAATAGTTTGCACTCGCTTCGGTAGCGTTTACATATCTAGGTACTTATGTTATACCATTATAATATTCCCAAGTAGGTATAAGTGGCAGTGTGGCAACAACCCTTTAGATCCTGCAATTTGGTCTAGACTCTAGACTTTAGGTGATAATAAATCAGCTAGTAATATAAAATATGAAGATATTTAATTTCAACCTACTTCATTATTACCATTGGATAGACGAATATGTGTTTGAAAAAAAAACTATAATTAATCAAAAATATTTATTTGTATAATATATTTTCATAAATTAAATAACAGTTAAAATATGATAAATGGGATACATTAAATAATATAAGTCCGTGTAAAATGGGAAAAGCGGTTGTGTTATTAAAATCTTAAGTTCCGTTTGGTGCTTCAAGGCTTCTGACACAGTAGCAACCTCTCAGCTTCATTCTGTAAAAAGAAGGATATGTATATTTAAAAAAATAAACATTTTAAATTAGAGGGAGGCATACATCTTAAATATGAAAGTGTGTTTCAAATCAAATATCAACAATATAGAGCGCTTCCTATCGACACTTTGGATAGCCCAATTTCTGCATAGATATATTTAGTTAATTAGTCGAAGAGTCACTTTCCCTTGGTATATTCTATAGTGATGATGATGAATTAAGTGCTTGGATGAAGCAGATAGTGAGTCTAGTATAAAAAAATACGTTACTTGGATCATTTTGTAAATAGTCGCGACTGCCTCGTCGCTTCTGCACACAGCAGGCCCCATGGACCTCTTGCCTCCCCAACTGGACGTGAAGGTGAGTTGTGCCTGTGTCATGACGCAGACGCAAGCCACAAAGAACACGAAGATAAAGATTTTGAACATTTTGTATGTTTTGTGTAAACACTGTTGCTATTGTAATGGAAGAGCAGACGCTTGTGATGATCCACTGCCCGAAGTCGCCCGTTTTATATTCCCGAAGCCCTTCGACGTTTAATTTGTTTTCAATTACGACTAGAGAAAATTAATTATGTACGGCCTCTTTCATAAATTAAAACCTATATTGTTTATTAATTGTTGTTTATATTTTATTTAGGTATAATATAGAATGCCTAATAATAATTGCTACGGAATTGGAAAGATTTCAAGTTTTAAGATAAAACTAGATTTTGGATCAGAAAGTATTATTAAACTTATTAGTACCTAAGTATGAAAACGCATTTAATTTTATTTATTTTTTATTTCGTACGCGGCCCGCTATATTACCGAGCTTTTACAGATAAGTATACATCTATTTAACTGAAATCTTGATGGACAGTAGTAATGGCTTAATCTGACCTGACGTTTTTGATAACTCTAATCTTAAAAGCAAGGATTAAGCTCGCCCAACCTCATCCTACTTTAAAAAATACTAATTAATTGTACTAGAAGTAAAAATCTTGAAGATTTTAAATTAAATAATATTGATAACTAGCGACTGACTCTTGCTTCGCTTGGATGCGTCCCTTAACGTTAAACATACGTTTAATAAGTTATCAGTACACAAAATTTAGTTACAGTCAACAAGAAAATCAACAATCAACAGAAAACAGATATAACAAAAACACAAAATAATTATATATAAATAAATAACAAAAATACAAACAGACAAAACTTTTCATAATCATTGTTTTGAGGTCTGTAGGACACAATACGTTACAGTCATTCTTTAAAAAAATATTTCACGTATAAATTTCGCTTGGTTACTGTTGTCTGTTTTATTATATGTATAAATATTAGTTAGTTATTTATTTATTCAGAAAGAATCACTTCGGTTCCAAAACAAATTCATGCTCCAAAACATTTATTCGCCGTCATTATCGCGCTCACGCATTCTCCTCGCGTGAACTCAGCGTCACAAAGGTACAACTTTTGAATAACCCATCAGTGATATGAACCTCCAATATTTTTTAAATGTAGTCCGAAGTCATATCTCTAGGGGTTTTTTTTAATTTTTTGATATCTTCTTTCATTTCGAGATATGATTTTTTTTCTCACCGAAACCGAGCGAAAAGCGACCGCATTTTTCATATTTTTTCGATTTAAAAAAAAACCTTTGAGTGTTTTCAAATATATTTTTTTGCATTTTGTAGCCCTCATTCAGACGCATCTTTTAACATACGAATCAACCACGTAGTCCCAAAATCCACAACATTGGGGCGATGTCGCACTCTCGCTAAAAATCCGGCCTATACTGAAGCGACAAAAAAAAAGAATTTCAATGTTAAAACCATCGAAATCGGATCTCATAAGGCGGAGATATCCAGTAGCTCCCTTTTTGCCCATTTTGGAAGAAATACCCCGATAGTTATATAAAGTCGTAAGACATGTACTATACCAAAATCTGCCTCGGTGGTGTAGTGGCTAGCATGTACGGCTGCACACCCGGAGGTCCTGGGTTCGAGTCCCGGGTCGGGCCAAGTTTAGTTATTGAGTCTTTCGGTATACTAAGTCTCAGTAACAGCCCGGAGTTGGGAAGTTGGCGGTGTTTCACCCCCGTGCCTCGGAGAGCACGTAAAGCCGTCGGTCCTGCGCCTTAACTCTCATTGGTCGTGTCGAGCAGTCGTTCCACCGGAGTATGAGAGTGACAGGAATAGAGAGTGCACTTGTGTCTACGCGTACACTTGTGCACTATAATATCTCCTGCGCAGTTGGCTAATCTCAATGAGATTGGCCGCCGTAGCCGGAATCGCCTAGGAGAACATCATCACTATACCAAATTTTGTCCAGATCGGTTGTTAAATACGACCTGTAGAGGAGTATCAACAAACTGACAAAGGATAGTAAATGCCAGACTTGATGCAGAGACTCGCTTCGCCAACTCGGTCAATGATTTTTTTCTGTAATGGCTTGGAAATGACTAATCAGTTTTTTTTACTGCATTGTATGTATGTACTATGTATGCCAAAATATGTACCTGCCAGAATATGGCATAATATATTATATTATTGACACTAATAAACCATTTTAGCTTTGTTAAAAAATTATGACCCTATGCTGTTTCCTGACTAATTTCGATCACGGCAGCTCATTAAGATTAC